TAGCATCGCCGCTCGCCCTGCCTGCGGCGCAGAGCTCCGCCGCTGCAGACGAGTTTCAATGTCCTTTTATGGAAGAAAAATGAAAATCGCCTGCCCAGCCGCCGAGTGCCTCAGAGCCGAGCTGAGATGACAGACGGAAACTTGCCATTTGTTGTGGTTTTGGCAGTAATAGAGGGGAGCGTGTTCCCATGCGCACCGCGCGTTTAAAAAGGGCGCAGCGAAGGCACTGAGCTGGACGAGAAAGCTGAGAGCTCCAGAGCAGGACGTTTCAGGGATGCAGTGCTGAGGAGGAAGATGGCAGAGTCATGAAAAGACGGCTTAGATTCTTCTGCCAGCCTGGACAAGCAGGAGACAGGCCTCTGGACAAAGGTGTATGCAGGCACTAGTGCTCCATTCCCAACCCCCCCAGTAAGACCCTTAACGAAGTCCTTCACACTGCATTTCCCTTTCTTCCTCATCTCAACCAATTCTGCTAAGCCGTATTCACAAAGACACAGGAGAAAGGGAATTTAAATGCAGGAGTTGGTTCTTGAGGTCATTGCCACCAGAAAGCAATTACAGGGGTCTGCCATAAGCGAGTGCCACCTTTGGCTCTGCTCTCCACTAAAGCTGCGGGACTAAGCTCTAAGTAACAATCAAATCTAAATAAATAGGCTCAAGGAGAAGCATACAGAGAACAGCAATAAGGACGGCTGAACAGAGAATGAGACGGGGCCATGGGACTTTCAAAATGTTTGCACTGCTGTCAGGAAGCTGAATGAGACAGCAGACTTCAACAGCTGGGAAAACATGTTGCAAAACAAGGAGAATTAAGTAATTCTCCATATGCACATCCTATTCCGAGGCATTTGGGACAAGCTCAATTTCTCCAACCAGAAATTTTTTTTTTTTTTTTTTTTTTTTGTGTTGCACACACACCCTGCCAGTGACAAATCTTGATACAGTTTAAGCCCAAAACCGCAGCACATCTGGAGTCAGGCAGGGCAGCTCCGGGCAGCAATGGGCCAGCCTCTAGCAGAGAAGTAATGGGCCCTGTGGTATATGTTGGATGACATCCTTGGAAGGCTCTGTCATCCTGGACACAGCCCAGGCTGCTGGGTACTTGATTACACAAACATTTCCCCTTACACCTTATAAAATACTTGTAACTGGATCATAGGTGGCTGAAGCATTACCCACCTCTGAATCACAAGCAGGTGTGTGCCCCATTACCCCTCAGGTACAGAGATCACAGGCAGTGCCATACACCCCTTAGCTCCTGCTGTAACTTTTAAGTCTTGTTGATCGTGCAACAATTTATTTCAGCAAGGCCACTCACATCAGAGTTGCTGCAAACCATACAACGCGACTTATGCTTATTAACACAGGTTGTGGAAGCAGTGTTAGCACCCTGCTAAGAGAAGCCATGTTCAGACACAGCTTGCTAGGCAGAGCTCTGTACAAGCTTAAACTTGTCTTGTTTCCAACAGAAAATGAAGGTTAAAAGCAGCTGGGTGCATGCATCTGTTTCTAGCCAGCACCTTGAAATCAATCCCGAGATGTTCGAGCAGCTTGAAAAGAAGTCCTCTAAAATACCAAATCCTGCACATTAAAAGTACACACGAGGATTGCTGTGTCCAGAGAGAAAAAAAAAAGTAAAGCAAAAGAGTGAAGATTTTATCCACCTGACAGAGGCACATCAATGCTCATTTTTCCAGTGTGACAGTTCCGATGGCCAGTGGGCAAACTCAGTCCCTAAACTCGGTCTCACTACCAGGATGCACTGAGGAGCCCTGAACAAGAGAGGGGGGCAGCTGCCCCAGCTGAGGGCAATGCAATTTAGCACTGCACAACTATACAGCATCCCCTCTCTGCGTCTCATCAGCGCCAGGGCAGGCAACAGCCGTACAATAAAGTAACAACAATTAAGCTATACAAAGGAGTTTTAAGGAAAAAGTCCTGGACAATCAAGTCCCTGCAATGTGGTCTGGCTAGGAAATGAGTGTCGAGGGTTTTGAGCTCCCCAGCACCAGAGGGACAGCGCTGCTCCCTGCATGCATTATTTCCATGGCAACAGCAGCTTTCACCTCCCCATCTCTTTTCTGGCTGAAAGCCCTGCAGTGCTTTGTGCTGAGACTGCAAAGCGGGGAGACCATCTCCCCCACCCGCAACATGGTGCCGGGGACAGCAGTAAGCAGCCTGGGAACAAAAGCCTTGTCTTCACCAACACTATGGGGTCTTGGGAGGAGGGAGGCAGGGCAGGAAGGATGGACTTCCTTTGCTGGTGGGAAACAGTACTTCCCCCAATGTGCAAAAGTGCACGCTCACTTCCCAGTGCTGCACAAGTCAAGAAGCAACATGTGCCCTTCCTAGTTTATGAGAACTGCCAGCTTTGGTTTGGTGTGTCAGAGCACAGGGAGGAGAAACACGCATGATTAGAGAGGAGAAATTCAAGAGCTGCTTCCACACAGGGATCCCTAAGCAGAGTAAGATGGAGGTTGACAAAGCAGGTTGGCAAACCCTGCTCTCACCAGGAAGCCTGCTCCAGGCATGGTCAGCGAGCTGTTACAGAGCAAAAACTCAAAACACACACACACACACACACACACGCGCGCATCCATCGGGTGGCTTGCGCAACATTTTTCCTTAGTTAATTAAGCTTTTCCTTCACTCTAAGCCCTGGCCACCTAACTAGGAGCCAAACTTCACGCCACACAGCTGGAGCCACAGTGGCCCTGGCAGATGGTGTGGGCTCATCTGCATGCTCTCGGCAGCTCTGCCCATTGCTCAGGTTACCATTAGCTACATGTTAGTCCCTGCAAGGTGCAAGTGACTGCAACTACAGGTGAGATGCATAAGCAGTGACCTGGGTATGCCTAGAGCTGCTCTTATTATTGAGCCCAACATACACTTACAATACATCCATAGATAGCCCAAATATGAACCAACCTCTCTGCAAGACTTAAAGGAAAGCCTGAGAATATCAACATGAACTCTCAAAGCAAGACAAAGGATCCAGGTGATGAAGCATGGGTCCACCATCTGGTCCTCCTCTCCCCACCCTGGAAGAGTCTCAGGGTTTCAGGAGAGGCACATTTTGACCTTTCTACACTTCTCCTCCCTTTAGGTTCAGCTGTGCAAGTGCAGTCCTTCCAACCAGAGTGGGGCTCCTTCCAGGATCAATCATCACCACCACCGAGGCTGCCAGAGGCACTGCTAGCAAAGCCAATGAATCCTCTCCAACCTCTGTAGCATTCCCTAGATTAGCCCTTTCCTCCCTAAGGGCAACAGTTTTCTGCAAGCAAGAGCATTAACCGAAATTATTCATTCTGGAGAGAGACAAGATAGTAAGAATATGAAGAACCACTGCAGTTGATGCTGTGAGACAACACCACATCCTGCTATCTGAATTCCTCACCCTCAACTTAAAATCCTCAAGTCATTCAAGACTTCTAAGAAGAGCACAAAGCTACTCAGCAGATTTTCAGCTAATGAATCAACACAAGCTGTCCAGGAAACTAGAAATCCAGCCCACTGGAATGCTGCAACCCCAGGGAGGGGGGACAGGCACTACTCTAGGAAGGAAATGAAACAGCAAACCAGAAGGAAAGGAACATTTCAGCACTGAGCCCTCTTACCACAGTTACTGTGCCGCATCACACATTTTAGAAAAAAAAAAAAAGCAATTTCAATTCGTTTTGCACATAGAAGCGTTCATGTTCTTCGAGTCTGAATTTTGTTCTATGGTGCTGACATATGTACATTTTGAAAACAATTCGGCTTTTGCAAAAAAAATAATTATTTAAACGTGAATCAACATTGCCACCTAGCGACTAGCAAGCCTCCTTGCTCATGACACTTGGATGATCCATCAGAATCACTTTTTTTTCCCCCCCAAATGCTAGAGGTTGATGTTAGCAAAACATATCTGGAGTTTAGAGAACTAAAATGGAATTGTGCATCTTTCATAAGCAGCCTTCCCCTGCCAGTAAGTTCAATTCTCATTACAGAACGCAAAGTTCACTGCTGGCAACTTCAATTTTTCCAGACAAGAGAATTTGACTTCCTATTACTTTCTCAAAACAGGCAAATGGTGGTATCATATCAATACAAGAACCCAAAGCTATGGCAGCTACAACCATAAGGTTAATGCACTCAAGAGGAATTTCAGTGATTAGCAGAAATCTCTGCTAGGGGACAGGCAGTTCCCTGAATATTGCACGAGATTTCATTGTTGTGGCTAAAGTTACGCAAGATGCCTTGTAGCTTCAGCACTAAACACTGATACTGTGCTGGCTTCGGCTCACTGGCATCAGATACAAGCAAGGTTCTGCATACATTCAGGAGACTGGAAAACACATTTCTATGCTTCTATTTTTCCCCAGAACAGATGGTGCAGAAGCAACAAGTTTTCCCCACTCCATCCCCCCATTGGGCCTGATGATTCTCCCGTTATGGCTATTAACAAACTTTGAGAGAAGCACAAAGATCTTCTGCCCTTTGAATGGCTCACATTTCAGTAAGCTATTCCAACAAGTTGGGTTTTTTTTTTGGTCGCTTCCAACTGAATCTCTATTCAGGCAACAGAATAAGAGAAAAATGCAGATGCTGTTTCTCTTAAGGATAGCCCATAAGGTTGCTTCAGCTCATTTTCCTGAAGTTTCATTAGCTAAAGGATTACAGTTTGGTTTTATGCCTTTTGAACACTCAAGCTCCCTGTTCACTTAAAACATTTCTGTATGTACAAGACAGCAACCTGTAGCATACATAAGCTTTTTTAGCCAACATCTTAAAAGGAAAGAAAGGAATACTGCTGTCTTTATCAACAGTGCCCTGAAATTAATCTGTCCAGACACACACTGTTATAGAATGTCAGTAGGATCCAGCAAATACTTTGACTGCTGTCCCATGCAGTCACATTAGATATTCATTCACCTGCTACTAGGAAGTGTAAGTTGTCCTCCCAGCTCTCCTGCCCAACACTTCAGAAGAGAACAAATGGCAAAATATCCCCCAATTACCTTTCTGCAGCGGGGATTAGGACAGCTGAACCGCTTCACATCATTGTCCAGTAGAGCTGGGAAGTTACAGAATGGACACCTGCAGCCCAAAATAAGATGTCATTAATGCAAAGTGCCAAAGAAATCTTCGCTGAAAGCGGATTTAGTCAAAGAGCTATGCAGTACTTAATAAGGCTGCCAACCAAACGCCTGCCGACAGGATGTGCTGACTGCTGCCTTTTTACTCATATTTCTTCGATCACTTCCTTGTTTGCAGTCAAAATATTATATGCTCAGCACTGCTTTTGACCATGTAATTTAGAGGATCAGCACAGAGCTGGCAAGCAAGTCTTGGGGGAGACAAGTCTATTGAATTTTAATCTGCTCCTAGTCAAAGACAGACCAACCTGAATAAAAACAGACCTGTGAAGGCAGAAGACTGAATTCATAATACAGCTCTTTGAAAGCTACCTATCTCACAGTCAGCATGCATTTAGGGTTTCAGGGAACAATTTTCTACAACAGTAAGCGCAGTTTGCATCCTCTGCTGGACACTTACCTGACAAGCTCATCCGCACAGGCAGCAGCCACCTCCTCCTCAGCTTTCCGCTCATAGTATTTACAGAGGATGTTCTCTGGAAGCACTTTCTCCAGCTCGCTGGTGGGGAATGAACATGTGCAACTGCCTTCCATGCAGCTGAGCTCTGACTAGGGTTGGAAGGAGAGAGCTCAGGTTCAGTACGATACTTGCAAAAAGCAAAACTCAGTACCCACGACATTTCCAAATAAACTAAGGCAAGAGCCTTGCTTAGAGAGAAAAGGGCTTAAGCCAGCAGATGACTGACAGAATGGGTTTGCTACAGAAAGAAGATGACTAGTTGAACAAATCAGACCTCAAACAAACAATGGGCATGAAGATGCTGTTGACAGCCAGGATCATGGTTCACTCACTCCAAGTCCACTGTGACCACACAGTGGCCCATTATTACTGTACAGTCTCTGCTGAGAATCAGCACTCTGCTTACAGACAGAATATTGCATTCTTGTCAATATGATCATATAAAATACAGCTGCCAGTTTATACATTTACATGTAAAATAGATCCTAGAGTACAAAAGCACCCCACAGTCTTATCATCATTTCTTGAGGCAAAGAAGCATGCACACCTCAGAGAAAGTTAATGACTTTATAGCTCAGCTAAGTACCAGGATAATTGCTAGCTAAACTGGAGACTAAAAAGGTTAGTAGTATCACAGAGAAACCCTAAATTAAGTTGGGATCACAGTGATATTATAAAGGACACTCTTAGCTAGGAGGAGACTGGCCAAGTCAGAGATAAGAGTGTATTCTCTCTACAGATACCATTGGTTTATTAAGTAGAAAACAAAAACCAGATGAGTGTAAATTATTGTTGTTATTATGAATGCCATAGAAAGTTTTCCTAATAATCCAAGTTGCTTAGCACAGAGCACAAAAGATAGACGTTAGCAAAACTGAAATCCTGTTCAGCAAAGATCCCATTGTGAAGTTGTTGGCCTCACTTGATGGAGAGACTGACTTCTTGGATTTGGATTTCAGGACACAATTCCATTAAAATATTTCCTGGGAAGTGCAGTTACATCTGATTTAAACAACAACACAACACAAACAGCAATGCGATCTCCCAGTAGCAATTTACCCAGTTTCCCCTCATCCAGTTGGGAAATTCTTACCTTCCCAGAGCCAAAGACTGCCTCCTGAGCATATTTAATTAGGCACTCCTTGCAAAACAAGTGACCATCTGCACACTGAGTTAGCTCTTCAAATGCAAACTCCCCATAACAACAGCGGCACTCTATCATCTGACCATCCTGCAGCCATAAACAGAGGTATTAGCATCATCACCAAAACATCAATAGCTATAGCAACATACAGACACATACAACTGCAAGCCATAAACAATGCCAGCATTAATTCTAAAAAAAGACCAACAGATATACACCATTCCATTACATATCCCATTTGGTGGTCCAAAGTGACAAAGCACAACCAGAAACTCAGTTTTAAGTAACTTAATATCTACATGTCCTGCTTGACAGGTTCCAAAAAGAACATATGGTGTTTAATAATTCTTAGCTCACAGGCAGAGAGGTATCTTGGTCTGGGGAAGATACAACTGAAGGAAAGCAGCAGAGTACACACCATTCATATGGGAAAGAAAAAAAAAAACAAAACAGTCTGCAGATCTGTTGCCGTCTAAAGGAACATTTACCCTTCTGCCTGGAGAGGCCTTGTCTTGGCCTCGAAACTGCAGGATGGAGAAGCTTGCCACTGTTAAAAAGTATGCCCATTTCTTCAGAGGTCTAACATCTTCTCCAAAGTTTGAAGTGAAATGGGTAAGGAGAAGGAAAAGGTAATCCACAGCTGCTGAACTTTTCTCTGTTTAAAGACAAAGGCCTGATTTTCAGGTTTTTAAAGAGTTCTTTCTGCAAATGAGGAAGGCCTTTTCACTGGCAGAGCTCCAACAACAGCAAATCTGTTTTCAACAGCCATAATGGTGGTAGCAAGAGCAAACCTGGTACTATTCTACTGCAATGTTTGTTCCAGCCAGTGTAGATTGAAGCAGCAGCTGATTGAATTAGTACAGATCATTACTACATGCATCAATGCTGTCTTGTTGGACTCCGCTCTTGCCTACCTCTTCTAAAAGCCAACACACACTGTGCAGGTTTTGCCAGCTGAGCAAAAGCAGCACACTGCAAATGCAGCTTCAGAATAGCTCCATTTCAGAAGCCAAAAGAATCTGTGAAGTAGTAAGTGCAAAACCGTGTCTATGCACAAGCTGAACTCAATGGACCACATAGATACTGACCTTCTGATACTGCTCCTCATTCATCTGCAGAGCAAGGAGAAAGTCTGCATGCTGCAAGAGAGACACGTGCATCTGTATTTACAGAATAGAGCAATTTTCCAGCCTCTACTCTTTTACATTATCTCAGGACTTAAAACCACCATAAAAGGCTCACTGTCTTCTTACAACATCACTAAGCCCACCCTTCCAATCCATTAAGCTATTTATGATTCAGCTACAACAGATGGGAGAAGCAAAGGCAGCAAGAACAAAGAACCAAATTCTGTATTATGGAGGGCTGCTGGTTCAGGTTTCCATGGGCAGAGATGATCTCACCCAACGGGCCCCTCCAGAGAAAGCCCCAAGAAACGTCAGCATTGTGTTTAAAAGGAGACACTATCCATCTGCCTAAGAGACAAGGATCTTTAGGAAGCTACTTTAGAAAGGACTGTAGGTGCAGAGCTGTGAATTCAGCCTCAGATAGGAGGGGAAGGCAGCACACCAGAGGGTGTTGCAGGGTTCTGCTTTGAAACACAGGGTCCTCAGCAGAGGTCAAGGCATTCTGGAGACAAGGGACTGCCAACTTGTGGAAGGCAGTGAGTGGACAGACTGCCTTGGGCCTGGTCATTATCCACCACCAACACTGAGCTGTAATTACAAGCCCTAAAGGGGCAGAGAAGCCTTGCTAACAATTAGAGGAAAGAATTAATTAGTAGAGCTTTTAATACTTTGCAGCAAAAATGGTTGAGAACAGTGTTAGCAAAAGAAACAGCTTTAAGTAAATATGAAAGTCTCTCTGTGTTTGGCTTTTTTCCTTCAAAAGTTATTTACTCAGGAAGTCACACATGTTAACAGGGAGTAAAGGGGCAAAAACAGTCAGTTACTCAATATTTTGTTCAGCGGTTGAATTTCTCTAAAAGGCAGATTTCCATGTTTAGGGGCAAAACCTCTACAATAGTTGAAGTAATCTGTACTACAAGATCAAAGTAGCTCCTCCCACTCACCTCTGCCATCTCTTTAACTTTCTGCTCATAGAATTCCTGCTCCAGTAGCACCGGTGGGAGAAGGGAGAGCTTGTCATAGGACCTCCAGTGCCGTCTCTTATTCTCCAGGAAGAACATGCGCTTCTCAATTTTCACATCCCCTAAAGCAGAGTTAAAGGCACAATGAAACGGGATGGAGCTGCCAGAACAAAGCTTAAATCCTTCTTCCTCCACACACTACCAGCTACATAAATTCAGCATCTCGAAGAGCACTGTACTAAGCAGCGATACTAATGAAGAATATCTCCAAAATAGATGCCAGTGACAGAAACATAGCTGTTTTGGGACCACACCCCTTTTCAAGAACAGTACTTTCTGCTGCAAGCCAGTTCTGCTTATTATAACGATGCTGAGAGGACAACACATTCAGCCTGGTATTTACCTTGCTCAAATTTGAAGTCTATATATGAATACTGATTCATTTCTTTCCTCCTTTTTCGTTTTCCACTGGTTTCAGGAGACAGCTCCTGCCATTTTTTGATAGCATCTGAAAAGGCCTAGAAAACAACATACAGACTTAAATCCTGTCTGTTCCTGGAAGAAAGCAGAAGCACATAATTCAAATCAAAGCCCAGTACAAACATGTGCATAAGACTGATCCAAAACTGGAAAGTCTAACACCCCATACAGAGGGAAGTATACCTCCTGCCTTTGCTCACCTTGTTGTTTCATGTGCTCATAAAGCAATCTTTCCATAAAAACAAAATAGTTGGAACAATACTTCACAACACTTCAGCTATTAACTCAAATACAGTCAGTGTCTACTCTGATACAACAGAGCTGGTTTGGCATTTTTTTTTTGTTGCTGTTGGGTTTTTTATTTAAAAAAAACAAAACACTGAAGCTCAAATGCTCAGTGCTCACTCAAGCAAGTGAAGAGACGAGTTTTTGTTTTAGTGAAGTCCTATAACAGTAGAGAAAGAAGCTCAAGCAAGAGCAGATCCAAACCACATTTACATTCAGTTTGTTGATACTTAAAACAAGCAGCTCTATTACAGTAGAACTCTTAATGAAGAATATAGGGCTCATTCCACAAGTCATAATAAGAAACAAGACAGTGAGACTCAGGCTTCTTTTCAATTACATGTAGTTAACTAATAGCAGCAGTTAAATGCTTTAAGATTTAGCTAAATATCTAGGCTTTATTGGCAATTATACTGCACTTCAGCAGCAACACACAGAAATGCTTCTCAGTTTAATGCATCACATACCATCAACTAGCTAGTGTTTCCCCAGATCTCTTATCAGAGAAAAGTAAAAACTTCCTGCAGTGTTCTGTCTGGCCAATAAATTCTGCAAGTCTCTACTAAATGGATTAATACTTCTTAAAAGGAAAGGTGTTGGGTTTTTTTTAAAAAAGCCCATAACCACACTCCAGCAGATGATATAGTAAGGCAAACGACATCACACTGCTCTCCACAGACACAGGAGATAAACCTAGGAAAGAAAAAGGACTTGAACTGGAGAACCTTTCGTGTGATTGCATAGTGTCCCTTGAGTTCATGTAGTGCCCACTTAATGTCTTGGCTGCTCAGCATTTTGAAGTCTGCCATAAGGAGGTCAGCTGCCTGAATAAAGCATCGCTGATCAAGTGGGGCAAGTTTGGAAAAGTCAAAGTAGTCCACTTTAGGCACCTAGGGAGAAAACACAAAATATGTAAAAATACTGCTATAAATACACACAAGAACACCCCAATCCACTCTTTCAGTGATCAGGACCTTCTACAAGACCACCCAAAATTCAGGGTACACGGCAGCCAGTTCTGAGCACCTATCTAGTCATCAGCTTTGAGCTCAGCACAGGTGTGAAGTCTACTGGTCTATGTGCTTGTGCAGGTAACCTGCCCTGAGCTGCCCCACGCTGCAGCTCTGCTCCTAGCAGGAGCCACGCCACGTTGTTTAAAGCCATTGTGCATGGCTGCATGAGACAGCAAGGAGAGGATACCTTGAAGTTACTGCAAAGTGTGAACAACTTTATGGGCTGGAGGTTGAGAGATACTTCCAAGAGTAGAAGGTGGTGTTCAACATTTCTCTCTGGCCACACACAGCTATTTCACTCAAAGCACCTCAGAGAAATTTTTGCCAAATGGACTTCAAAAGCATAAAATCAAGCAGCTGTAGGGGTTTTCAGTCAGAAGGCTGAAAGGCAATGCCTAAAGGCCACACAAGAGAGACATGAGGGCTGAATCTACATCATGTAACAGAACGACCACGGAATTCTTGTATCAGTTATCAAAATGAACATTTCAGATGGGGCAGCTGACAGGCGGGCAGAGCAGATGGTCTTACTTAAGGCAAAAGAGCAGACAGGATGCAGCTGTACAACAGCAAAATGGGAAAGGTCTTGGAAGTCATATTGCAGGCAACTAACTATTGCTATTTAATGCCATTTTAAATGTGCCCAGAGGCCTCCTAAAGCAGGGCTCAACCAAGCACTCTACAAATATGCACTAATAGGACCAGACATCCCAAGGTCCACTCAGGTTGAACAGACTGGAAGAAAGGCATGCTATAGATGAGGAAACTCTCACTTGCCTTTGTCTCATCTTGGCTGGCAAGCAGGCTGCTGTTGGGATTTAAAACCATTCTGCCTTCCTTCTTTGGGTAATCTGGATTTTCCAGAAGAAAGTTACAAAGTCTGAAACGATAAGTATAGTTACTTCAGCATTTGGGAGCTCAGGTTCATTATTCCTTGCTTGTCCAACTTTTAGTATCCTATAATTACAAGGCTGGGCAAGCAAGTCACATCTTGTCCAGTAAGAACCAAGTGAGGTCTTTTTACTAGAGCAAACTGAAAGTAAATGACTGGGAATTAAGTAGAGGGATTGGCTTTATGATTACAGAAGGAAAAGCAAATACATCTGTCTTTCAATAAGTATGTTTACTTATGAGAAGCTTGTATGGGTGAGCTGCTAACCAGCCTACATCTCTCCATGCTAGAGGTGAACAATCAGGCTTACTTCCCCACACACATCCATGGTTAAAACCATGTAAAGCAGTACCTCCTTCGAGCACATGTCAAATCCTGCACAACAAGTCAGGGTGTACTAACTTTCTGCTGCTCTGGCATTAACATTATGAAGACCATACAAGAAACAACAGTCACAACATTAGCATCTTTAACTGAAATCTAGCTGTCAACTACTGTGGTTAATACAAATGCAACTATGGAAAAAAACAGCATACAAACCCTTATAAAACTTGTGAAAGGTTGATGTCTTCCTCAACAATAGATTACAGATTTTAATTGGAATTAAAGCCTCCAGTCTCTAACTACTTTCACATTAGAGCAGAGACAGAAGCATGTTTAGGCCATGTTTACATACAGTATGTACTCTAAATATAAATTTCATTATAATAAAGCTTGAAATCACACCAGCATTGTCCAACTTCGACTAGAAACTGGTCTAGTCAGAACAGCATTTAGAAACTAGTCACTAAAAACTGCTGACAAAAATGCATAACTAGCCTGTAAATGCAGCATACCTGAGGGTCCTATCACAATCATAACTGTCAGGTGAATTTAGTTTAACTGAGTATTTCAACTTAGAAAAGACTCTAGCAAGAAGTTTCAGAATACCCCATTGCTGGAGATCCACAAATACTTCAGAAGCCCTTTTCAGAGGGAAGCTTGCTGTAGGCTATCTGTCTGAATCAGACTGTCACAGCTTGTTCTCAACCATCACTAACCAGCTGTAACATAAGCTGTTCCTCAGTTTCCCCAGCTGTAGAATAATATCCTTCTGAAAGGAGCTAGGACAAGCAATTAACATTTGTAAAACTTTTTGAATGAGAAGGTGCTAGGTTGCAGCAAAGACATAATTGCAGCTAATTTACATTCCTGATGTCAGAAATCAGTCCCTAATTAAGAAATCTGAACTGGCTTGAAGCATTAACGCACTATCAAGGCATGATTACTTTAGCCCTGCTTTCACATTCAAAGCAGAGGCATTTCTTTTTGTTTAATCAGGTATTGACATATTGAGCCAGAAGCTTTTGACTGAGTGTGAATGCTTCTGCACACAAAAGCTGAATAGATGATACCCTGCTAAGAGGAGCTCCCACATCTTATCTTTCACATCAGTTGAAAGTTTTAAGACCATCATTTCGGAAAACAACAAAATATCTTGGCGCTGGGCATTTAATAGCTTCCAGCCCTCCCCCCTGCTATCCCTTTTGTAGAAGATAACTGTTTTAATCCAACAGAACAGCAACTTCAAGGAGCTCAAATCACTGCAGCTCAAACGCAGGGGTTTCAGCTGGGGCACAGTCAGAATACATTTGAACTATTCTGCATGTTGCCATTTCAATGCCCAGGATTTTCAGAGATGTTAACCTTCAATGTATGACAATTAGTTAAGTGGGTCCCAGCGCGCAATGCACGCACACTTGCAGCACTGGTTCATTAATATCTGCACCGCAGGACACAGAGCCAGTTAAAAGCCTCATCCCTGCCCAAACCCAGCCACCCTTATTTATTATATTTCAAGCCTGATTCAGCTTGACATACCATGGAGATCAAAGAGACCCTGCCAGCGAGGCTGACCAGTGCTTTGACCCATTTGTTCTCATACAAAAGAAGCAGTGACAACTCAAAAGATAGTTTGGTTAAAGGAATAAAAATATGGAGAAGAAATCTTTATCATCCAGTAAGTGGGTAACGCACCGCTGAGCAGACACTGTAGATGGCCTACAGGGAAGCCTGTAAGCACCTTTTCATCTCACTGGGTCTGTGGCACACAATAGGAGAGAAGAGATTTCGGAGCAAAAAGGGAAGGAACACATTAAGACTGATAGAAGCCGATAGTGGGATTTAATTCTATCAGGCTTCCCTAAATCCCTGCAGGACACAATGACGAGTTTTTTCACACAATCTGTGAGAGGGTCCTGCAGCCAGATGCTTAACTTCAATGGCCAGATCACTCCAAGGAATGGCCCTACCAGTCTTCTACACTCCCAACACAACCACCCACACCAAGGTGCATCAAGTACGTGGTGCAGGCACCTGAAAGCTGCTCTCATGTTGACTACACCACTGCTATAGGGCAAGCACTTTTGAAACACAAGGAAGAAGTTTCAGTCTGATGACTTTCTGACCAAGAAGCCCCACTTTGGAGACATGACTTCATAACACAGGCAAAGACAGTAGAATAGGAAATCTATGCCCAACGGATGGGATCACCCTTAGTCCCTTGCCAGTTAACTTACTTATGGTCCAATAACTTATTCTAAGCCTCACACACTTAAATAATGCTTAATTAGTGCCCTAGTTAACCAGAAAGGGCATCGGATTCATACAAGATAGAGTGAATACTCTGGCAACCAACACCTATTATTCATTCTTGTATCACATAATAACTAGTTTCAAGATCTTTGAGACAGCAGTGACAGCTGCAGAGAGAGAGAGAAAGAAAGAGGGGCCACCTAGCATCAGACACAAGTCATGAGTGATTTACTTCAAACCATTCTCCCCTCTGTGTTGCTGGTGCCAACACACGCAATCCTTTGCTCTTCAGCTGTGCAAGCTTTACCCCAAAGGGTAGGGAGATGATGCAAGTTATCAATAAGGTTAATGACTTTTTTTTGAACTTTTGATTCTAACATGACTCCCAGAGTTATCAAGCACAACGAATGCTAAAGTATTCTTGAGTTGCTAATTGGGAAAGCAACAGTCCTCAATGCTGATTTTCCACTCCTTTTATTTCCCTTCTTGCTCAATTTCTGCTCAGTTTGACCAAAATCAGCCCCTCAACAGATATCTACAGTCAATCCTAGCAGCCCTGAAATGTGTTTCCTCTATTCTATCTGCAAAAAGTGATGTGAGAGAACTCAAACAGTACCACTGATACTTGATGAACTAAACAGAATAAAAGTCAACATCATTACACTAAATAAGGGAAACCAAAACAGAGTCAGTTGTACCTGGAAAAATACAAAAGCCAGTGAAATGAGCAGGTAGGAAACTATTTTTTCCAACTCAAAACTCACCAATCCACCTTTGTACCATGTGTTATAGACATTATCTAAACACCTTAATCCTGATATTCACCCTTTTTATGAACCCTAGTAATAGTTAAGAGGAAATATGTAATATCTTTAAATAAGCAAATGATCTTAGAAGCAGAGAAGCTACAGCACAATGTCAGAATTAGAGAGGATTTAAGAAAAGCTCTATTGGAAGGGAAAAGACATTTCTCTGCTCTTTGGCAGTATCAATGCAGTGCTGTCTCCCAACTTGGATATGCTCTAGAACAGCATCATTAGCAGGTAGGGAAACGGAAATGTGACTGCAGCCAGACTGCTGTATGATGTACTCTGGCTTTTAGCTCTATACTTACACATTTAAGTCATAGCAGTCCTTGATGCTGATTAGCTCTTCAATATATTCCTTCTTCACATCTGGGAATCTTGCTTCCTACAGTAGGAAAAGCTAAAGGTTACGTAGGTATTAGAGGAGCTGTGTAGCACAACCTAGCAACAGCACCAAAGACAGATTTATAGGTAATTATTTGGCATGCTCCTGAGACAAGGACCAAAATAGATTTCAAGAGACCATTTATATCCATCCAGCCTGGATACTGCAAGCCGCTGGCTTTCCTTTGCTCCACAGGATGATTGCTAACAGCGCTCTCTCACAAAAAGAGTATGTATAGTGATGTGAATGCCACAAGCAGCTGGCCTAATGAGTGATTCGGGATGGAAAGAAGACAGGCACATAGGTACGATCTACAACACAAGAAAAGCTAATATTTACCTTCAGATAGAAGATTAAGCAGTTCCAGATTGTGTGCTGAAATACAACATTCCAAAGCAAAAGGAAAAAAACCCAACAATACATATACCCACCCAAAACACCCAGACACACTAGCAATTAGGTCAGAACAGACAACAAATCTTCACTGGCATTTCTGTGGAAGCCCTCCCAGCATTAGCCACGTAGCAAAGAGCACCCTTTGCTGCTCTCTCTTGTTGGGTTTCTGTACAGGTATTGCAATCGACTGCATCATATGATATTTTGCTTTGCAAGACTGGACAATGCAAGAATATCTACCTACCCATCTCCAGTCAAGTCACTGATCAACAAGGTCTTACTTGGAAAAAAATCGAATTTTGTTGGACTGCTACTTAAAGCATATAAAGCAACCCCAGTTTTCCCAAATAAAATCAGACACAGGATGCGGAGGGAAGACTTGGAAAAGATGGGAGTGGGGGTGCAAGACAAGAGGCAGTAAAATATGCTTGTTCGCAAAAAAACATTTCATAAGGCATCAAGAGATACTCTTCCTCCCTAGCAATCAAGGGGAGGAATGTGCACTGGAGAGGAAAACAGACATGTGAAGCATCAGCACATTTGTTTTCTTTTACAAATACACCATGTTGCACAAACTGCTGAATATACCAAAGGTTAAGGAATACCCTCCTTGGCTGTTCAGTTCTTGCAGCTAGTGCTGTTCATGCTATATTTCACATGCAGAGTCAGAAAGGAGTGTGTGAAGTTAACATACATGAGCCTTCATGCTGCTTATCCAGTATTCCCTCAGTGCTACTGCTTGGAAATCCACACTGCAAGGGCAAACATTACCCCTGACCACCATGGTAGCTTTAACATGGCCATGGACCAAACTATATTAGGAGAGTCAGCTGAAGGCAGCCATGGCCCTCAGCTGCATGTCTCTAAGCTTTCTCTACCCCACCCTTTATCCCTCTGCCAGTGTTTAGTCTCAGTTTCACTGATATAGCTCTACATCCGTTCCTAAACCAACTCTATAGAGTTGGGTTAGGAATCAGTCAGACAAAAACAAACTAGCAGAACTGAGAGGGTGCGAGCCTTTAAGGAACCGATCCCTATGATTTTACCTCACCATGCCCTTGAGACACTACAATCAGTTCTGCTAAATCTCTCTGGCCAAGAGCCCACCCCAAAGCAAACAGTGCCCTTGAGATCTGCATCCTCTCATCACTTCTGCCACAGTGTTGGGGTTAGTTTTTTAAACCAAAGTTTTCCAAGACAGTTCACTGCATGCTCCTCACACGGTGCACAGCTGAGTCTCAGCCAAAATGAAGAGGATTCGCAGCTGAAGTCAAAGAGCATGTGAAACACTACATACCTTGAAAAACCTGTCTGAAAATAACATGCACACAGAAGGCAAACAAGCCCTGGGAATACTTACTGTCTCTCTGATGAGCAGCGCAGTGAGGTCTAGGGCCTGTCCAGCAGCATCCTGTTCTGGCACATTACTAGTGCCAAATTCATGAGAACCCTGTGTGGGGAATGCTGGGCCTGGCTGTTCATTGTCAATCGCTGCCTGCTGACCCGTTTCTTCTGGTGGATGTGCTGGCTGGGGCGAAGCAGGCCCTGGAATCCCATCCTGCTGTGGTTCAGGACGGGGGAAGGCTGGCCCAGGAGCCTCCTCTCCATATGCCCTCAAAGATCCTGGCTCTGCTTCAGGCTGCCCTTGCTGAGGAGCACAACCATTTGCCACAGCATGGGGCTCGCCTTCCAACGGCTGGAAGTGGGGGTGATCCAGCTGGTTGTTCTCGTGAATCTCCCCGTCTGTGGTAGCTGCAGCAGGTGTTCCTCCAAGGTTTTGTTCTGGCTCCAAATCCTCTTCTTGCTGTCCCTGGGCTTCTACCTTTTCTTCCTGTTGTGGTGGAAGATCTGTGTTCTCCAGACTAATGATTTTTCTGTTAACAACAGGTGGTGGACTTGTCTTTTTTGATGGAAGCAAACTTGGGCCAGGCTCCTGGTTACTTGTAGATTCAAACCTGGGGCCATTAAGCTCAGAAGGTCCAGGCTGCTGCAAGGCAAAGTTCATATTCTCATCCTTGCTTGGTCCAGCACTGCTCTCTACTGTGTGATTATACTGGTCTCCCTGGCACAGCAGAGTTGAGACCTCATCTTGCTGGTATATGCTCCTCAAGGGCTCAACAGCACTTCTAGATCCTCCTTCTCCCACAGTGTTTGCACCCTGCCACAGAGCAGCAGGTCTGATGACATTAGGACGCAGAAGCTGCTGATGCTTTGGGGTCTAAAAAGACGACAGACAAAAGTAAGTAGGAATTCTTGTCTGCATGTCAGAATCCTTGCTCCAGATAATCTTTTGCATCTAATCAAATTTCTGATGGGAAACAGATGACAAGTCTGTTTATCAAGGTGCTTAATATGGCATAAAACTGCAACTCACATATCTTTGTTTCACTGAACTCCATCCTCAGTCTGTCCCCAGGTGCTAGGAGAACATGTAGCAGAATGGGGAATCAGAGAACTTTCAGACTGGAGTAATTTCCTAAACTTACCTCAGTCCTCACTTCCCTCCCAGTACAATAGTCTGGGAAGGAGGAACTAACTGATGGCATATTTGCATTCTCACCAATTTATTTAAACAGGCAGGAACCAAAGCTCAAAGTATTAATCTCTAGCCTTCTTCTTGCCTCTGGCAGACAGACTGCTGTATGCCAAGAGAGTCTGAATATTCTCTGCTACTGTTTTCAACTAAAACAGAAAGGTCAGCTTTGTTACTGGTTTTCTCAACGTCTCTGGTTAATTTAATAGAGAAGTGGAATATATTCTTAATATATCTTAGATATGAAATTATACACTTAAAATGTTCAGGGTAAGCTAAAACCTTTGGCCCTCCTCTGTGTGACTGCCTCTGCCAGTGGAGAGAGATTTATCAGGTGGGCTGCTTTTGTAGAATCACAAAAATATCAGTGCCTGAAACAGTCCAACAAGAATCCAGATAGCATAGAGGAATACAAAGTATACAAGGTCAAACAAGGCATATTTTGAAAAACTGCCTTCTAAGGAATATCAAGTCCTCTTTACAAAGTGCTCCCTCTCTCTGGATTTAGGCAGATAACGAAGGCTGTAGCTTCCATAAAGTTAAGTAGAACTTTAAATACAATGCAGTTTAACAGTCTAGTTTTCCCCTCCTGTGCCCAAGATATGATTAAACACTTAAAGCCAGAAAAATGCCGTCATTTCAACATTCATTTCGGACATCCTAAGTAAATTACTGTAACTGGATAGGACTCTCGAAGGAATGCATCAGATATTTGCACAAATTGGCTATAAAGGCCATGAATAAAGCAAGGCAGTACAAGAATGAAAAATTACCTCTGCCAAGATGACTACATCATCGTCATCCTCCTCACGCTGCTGTTCTGCTGGCATTTCCTGAAACAAAGGTAATTCTTCATCCGATGAATCTGATATTGTGATAAGACCTTCATCCCTGCGGTTTATCCAGTCTGCAGTAAAGTAAGTAAACTTAGCTATTTGCTAAAGGTAAATAATTGAAATTACAGGGCAGAATCACCAAAACATTGGAAAAAGCAATCTCCACATTTGCATTACAGCAACAGGGAAGAAGCGCTCAAAGGTCACTGGTTCCTCTGCAAGTTACTGTTAACAGCCACTCCTACATCCCTGGGCCCTCTGAGCACAACACCTGCACAGACTACAGCTCACCACAATGGCACATGGAGGAAACAGCCACTCTGACACTTGCACACAGAGGTTCTTCTATCCCAAACTTCAGCACAAGTCAAGCTGCCACAAAAATTATTCTTCATAAGCCATGTAGGAAGTACTTCCTAATTTTTGCAGTGAAGTCCTTAATTTTCAGTATCTCAGGGACAACACATTTTCTTTCATTGATGTGCAGTGCATTCTAGAGGAGAGATAGAGTTCTCTGTGCAATTCGGCCTCTTATGCAAGACTGAGACAGGGCCCCTGGCTGTGGGTGCAGAAAATATCCTGCTATGAGATGACAACCTTGTCCCTCAAGGCTTCTCAACAGTGGAATATTGATGCTACTGAACACAGCTGCTAGAATGCAGGAGAGACACTCAAGCCAGAAACAGCATTTCTGTGCTGCAGAGACAGCGTACAGCCATGATTTCTCTGTGATTTAACACAATGTTTTGGCTTGTGCTTTAGCGTAAGTACTCCTGAGTATTCATTTACCACTTTTCAGGCACACACAGAAAGCATCATTTTGAATTCCACTCTTGGAGGAACAGGTGTCAACGCATACAGCCCTGCGAGGATCCAACTGCAGAGCCAGCCTCTCTCCTGTGAGGTCTTCAGAAGGGTGGAATACCGCAAGTCCCTCAGATCTGCTGAAATACCTCTACATGGTGTTCCCAAGAAGTGAGCAATCTGCCTTAAGGCGGTACAACATGAGAAAGACAAGAGCCAAACATTTTGCAGGTCTGCATAAAATGAGAAATTTTCCTGTAGGTGGCTGTGCATTAAGTGTAAGAGCACCATGTATGACACGGCAGAACAGACCACTAGCAGGTTCCTGTTAACAGCGTTCTCACAAGTTTAGTGTCTATGAATCTTGCTCCTTGTAAGCAGAGTTTTACAAAGAGAGTTTTGAAAATATGCACGAGCCATTACTCACCTTTCCCTCTGTGACTGCGGAAGCTATTCAAGTTAATTACTTCTTCCTTTCCACCTCTCTCTGCCATTTTAAACAGCTGTCTCCGAAAGTGTCAATGTCCAGGCATGGCATTCAGGCTCACATGAGGAACTAGAACACAAAATAAAAGCAGGAGAGAGTAAGGCAAATTCAACAGCACCCTGATGGGGCTTTCCCAAGACTAAGCTGCTAGATCATTTTGGGAGTTCTCCTGGTTCTCCCAGCACAGTTGGTTCACGAGGGTATTTTTCTGTACCACCTTCTCAGTGCCTAAAAGTAGACATATTTCTGTTTTCTTCTGTTTCGAAAATTAAGCCAACTGAAGAATGCAATCAGGCCCAAGAGGCCTCTCCAGAGAGGACACGAAAACGCTTATAGCTATGCAATCACAGAAAGGGGCAGGGCAGAGGGAGATGCAATTCTGTCCACTCAGGACTCAAACTCTCCCTATATGTGGATCTTCTCCCGTTTCCAAGAAGTCAAAAAACTGATGCATCAACTCCCATAGCGGTGTTTCTGCCACCATCTACTGGTGAGAGGAGCAAAAGCCACTTGCCTGAGTGGCCACAGGGCATCACCACATAAACCTGCATCTCAAATGGACCAGTTGATGTCATTAAAGCCATCCCCTATCGCACTTAATGCCATGAAGTCACACCACACTGCACTGCAGAAAGACAAACACCAAGGGGAACAGTCAATATTATGGGCATCAGACCTGACAGCCTAGTTGAGGAGCTGAACCATGCAGTGAGCTGCACAGCTGAAATGGAGACACCCAGCATCACACCTTTAATTCCCTGGGTCTCGTCAAGCTGAGGCACAACTTGACAGGGACCAGAGATGCTCTGAGCTCACTTCCACAGTGTCTATGTTGTTGGCACATCAGAAGGAAGCTGCACCCCTGGCAGGGCATCACATAAGTGAATGTTCTGTGCCTGCACTATGAACCAGCACGGAAAGAAGTCATGTCTACAGAGCACACTTTCTTGCCACAATCTATTTTAAAGAAAAGACTTCCCTAATTTACACCACATTCCCTCTTCAGTGAGGGCTTGGTACAAATTCCAGGATATGCCACCTGCTCTCAAACTGAAGAGAGAATGACAGGGATAAGGTTCCTTCACAGGATCAGGCTTTTGGGACTAAAACTTGCTACCCCCACCTGTTCTCAGAGAGGCACAATGAGCCGGCTGGAGGCTCCCAAACTGGATTAGGAGGTCAGAGGAATCACTGCAACCTGAACAGTAGGTTTCCATTTTATGCTCTGTCAGCTTATAGCTCTCAATTCCTGCTATTACAGAGCAGCTGAATACATATGGGAACTCCAAACACAATTTGATCATTGAAATGAGAAAGGAGGTCTTATTGTTGAGAAGTATTCATCTCATTATTAAAGCACAGAGGAATCAGTATTATTAAATATTTACTGATCTGTAAGTTGGAAGAAGATGGTGGGTCTGCTGTAAAATCCTGTTTGCTAGTACACAAAGCAGTATAAATTCCTCCTCAATAATTCTACTTAACCTCCTCTGCAGTGAACAGACTTTGCAGCCAGGACAGCAAAATGAAGAAATCAGTTCAGATGCATACTACGCACTTTTATCTATACCCCCTCCAAGGAACTAGTCATTACCATCTCCAAAATATTGTAATACAGGATAAAATAGTAGACATTTTAAAAGTATAATTCCGCAGTTTAAAAAAGCCAAAACCCAAGCCACATTTCACAGAGAGGACATGCTGCCCAGCAGTGCCGAGTTGGCCAGCTTTGGGCAGGAATGCACCCTCCTCTTGCAGGACACCCTGAGCAGAAACGGTCCGCAGCCTCGCACCGCAGGCAGCGAGATAAAGGAGCAAGGCAGTGGCATTTTCCCTGTTTGCAGGACAGGACACCTGCTTAACACAAAGGGTACCAGCAGCACAACTCAGGGCCTGAAGCTGCCTTCTCCAGTCAGAACCTCCACCATAAAGGTTTTCATGGCTGGGCTACAAACAGCCACACTCACCTGGTCCCAGCACTGGTGATGGCCCAAAATTTGAGTGGGATGTCGGGCTAGGGAACTGCAGAGCCCTCTTCTAACCAGCACTACTACAAATACACAACTACCTCTATATTTCAGCCCTGAAACCTCAGCAGCACACCCTATTTCCAGTAAGCACCTCCAAGTCTATCATAGGCATACAGATGCCTTAAAAATGCTTCAAAACCAACATTTTTGGGTGTGTTTCCACCAGGTTCTTCAGCTTCTGCTTTCTAAACAAGAAGTAAATTTTACTTTATTTGCCAGGATGCCATGAAAGCACTGTTTGCATCATTGCAGACAGGTGCTGGAGCGGCAGCTCCGTAGCCGGGTCACTGAGAACCCTGTCCTTTTTAAAAGGTCACATTCACATTATTGAAGCTGTATTTTCCCTGTTACTTGTGAATAGCTACCACCCAGTCCTGCATAGTGGTTTTTCATCCTTAGGTCTCTCAGTACTTTAGAAAACAAGATTAGTATGCTTCTTGCCATTTAAAAAAATGGAGAAAAGGAAGCACAGAAAGGACCAGTGTCACCAAGGCCAGCAAGCAGGCTAGCAGCAAAGCCAGGAGCAGCACGCAGGCCTCTTCAGCTCACGTACCCATGCCAACCACTTCTGCTTCCCAGCAGGTCGGTCCTACAAAGCAACAACCAGCAGCCCCTGCATAGCCACCACACCTTGTCTCAGCCACCTTCACGCAGGATAACACTCAACAAAGGAATGTCTTGGCAGGCAAAAACGGCCAAGCATCCCTCCAAGAGTGGCTGAGGAGCAACAAGGACATTCGTAAAAGCCACAAATCAGCCCTTGCAGCATCAAGTGATGCAGACAGAGGCTAGCCAGGTGTCTGCTCAGATTTGCTCTGAGCAAAGCTAAGTGGCTTGGATATTTGTCCCCTACAGGGACAGGCAATGTGTTAGCAGAGTTGGGTGTGCATGTACATGTGGGTGGGTCGACAATGCTCAGCAGTCACAAAAAAAAAAAAAAATCTTCTCCCAAATAGTTCAAATGGTGCTTTGACCAGTGCTAGCTAAACCACAGCTGTTTACGTCCCAGAACAAGAGATAAGCCACAAGACTAACACGAAGACTGTATTCTCTATAGGCAACTCTGGTTCCCCTAAAGAGGAACTTGCACACTTCAACCTCAAGAATCAACAAAGAGGCAGAGGAAATATTCTGAAATTAAATTGGGGATACAGACTGTCTACCCCCCATACGAGAGAAAGATGCACACACACCACCAAATGACTCATGGTTGTTTAAAAGCAGGACTATAATAAGTAGCATTAACTGTAGTACACAGTCAAGGCAACAACAACAACAAAAAAGCCAAACCTGAAAAGAACTGGCAATGTACCACTTTTCTATTTCATAACAGACTGCATAAAACCCCAAGCAGCTTAATAAAGCACTGTTTTGAGGGTAAAAGCCAAGCTTCCACCGAGAGCTAGCAATTCATGTTGTCAATACTCAATACAGAGCTCAAGTTTAAACAAATATCTATAAGCATGGGCCAGTTCCATCCAGTAGCATGAATAAGAAGTTTATTCATGTTTATAGCACTAGGGCACCAAGAACGTCAAGTAACAAGATCAGTGCCACCCTAGGGTCTTGCCCTACATAAACAACATAATAAAAAGCAAGCAAGACAGATGGAAAGAAGCTATGCCACACTACCTCAGTGCTTTCAGTGACTATTTATAGGTAAAGAATAAGGCCACCTATAACCACGCTCTAACATGACCATCATTTTTTTTTCCACTACAGTCAAGGACAGGATACTAGAACTGTTTTAAAAGAAAAAGACCTGGCAGCAACAGACAGATGCACATTTTGCAAGCTTCCCCCCTGCCCCCCCTCCTTTTTCTTCAACTCCCACCTGCACCAGAGCACACATACTGGACTCGGGGCCTTGCATCCCTATATAGTATCGGGGTAACACAAAACTCTTGTCATGACCTTGTCATCTCTTGTGAAGACTGCCGTGCTGAGGATGCAGTTCCACCAAATCTCCCCTCTGCTTTCCACATTACTCCATGTATTCATGACACTGCCCATCCAAGCTGTTTCACTGCACAGGCAATAAAATCCTCCCCATTAAGGTTTTTTCCTACAGCAGCTTGAGAACAACCCATTAACAGAACAGCTACCGGAAAAAAAATCAGAGACCATCAGGGACTTAGACTGACAGTTGAAGTCACACATACTTCCCAAACAAGCTTCTTACACATGCAAAAATTTAATGTACAAAACCACTGGTCCCAATCACTACTATGAGTTGATGGATCAGCTGCTAAGAGGTGAAGCAGGTCTCAGAATCACAGTGAATGCTTACACAAGTATTTCCAAAACCCATTCAAAAATCCCTGCAAACACCACGTTACATATTTTTAGCCTAAACTAAAAATAGCATGCATCGTTACTGTGCATATATTTAAACTCTCGGTACATGCAGGCATTTCTGGACTGCAGTAATTGGAGCAGAACTCCCTCCACCTCACATTTGTGCTGCAATGAGCATCTTCATAGTGCTGAGACCCCCCCTCCTAGACAGAGGGTAATAATGTATTTCCACACACACACACACTTACAGCATTTGAAATCTTTAACTCCCACATACCCAAGACAGGACTAGACTCAAAGTGCTCTTTTCTGGCTCTAGCTCAAGGCAACAGGACTAGACAGAAAGCACTGCAGGGGAGGTAGGAACTGAAATCCCAGCCGAACAGGTGGGGGGAGCACAACTTGAAAGAGATGTCAGCAACATCAAATCATTGTGTGTTTTAGCCTCTCCCCCATACAGCAACACTACTGTTGCTCACTTAAGTTGACAGAAGAGCATCAACTCCTATTTTCTGCCTGCGGGCAGCAAACATGTCTGCTGGTAGCCTGTGAGCAAGGTGAATTTCTGGCTCGTTTCAAGCTGCTAAAACAAAGAGAAGCTACTTAAATAATGCATGGCTTGTGACAACCAGCAAAATGAAAAGCTAAAAATTCAACCCTTAAAAAAAAAAACCAAACCAAAACACAACAGAAGGCAAATAAACCAGGCCGACTTACTGTCAAGTATTTCATTGAAACGTTTCAAAGGGTTCACGATTTGCTGGGGGCTGCTCCTTGTAACAGTCACTTAGCAAAAGCAGGGAGAATTTAACAGCAGTTGATCCTGTTAAGCAGCATCATCCCAACCGAAAATTAGAAATCCCCTGATCATAAGCTCGACAAGAACCGCTGGGCACAAACAAGCCGTTTGCTATGCACAAGGCAGCTACCACTGCTGCATCACACCTCACAAAGGAATAAAGCCAGAGGTTAAATTGAGGACCTGCAGCAGGGCTTCTGCCAAGCAGGTTTAACACAGGGGCCTGCCTAAGGCTCAGGCAACGGTGGGAAACCACACCAAAACCAAAACACTGGTGCCAACCCAAGAACCTTACCCTGGCCTCCTGAAGACAGGAGTGTGTCGGCAGTGGCTCACTGGCAAGACCACCTGGTTTCCAGCAGCAGCTTGGTTTGCTAGGCAGACAGTACAGCCAGCTACAGATATCGCACAAAGGCTCCTCTTAGGAGCACAGAACAAGGGTAGACTTACAGCAACTGCATCCATGTAGTTCTGCAACCAATTTTTGGACCTGTAGCACATGCTGAAGAGGAACAACATACCAGAAGATAATTTAGTAACAGAATTGGCTTATAAGTTTTAAAACACTCCCTAAGTGTTTCACAAGGCATTAGCAGCTGGCTTGGTTTACCAAATTATTTTAAGACAGACACGTCTGTCTTCAGAAGATTACAGTATTCCCGAGATCTGAGAAAAAAAATCAAGGAACAGAAGCTGAAGTGAACAAATTTGTCTCCAATAAGAGCCGGGTAACACAGTTCTACTACAGAAAGCCAGAGAATTGACTTCATCACACCAAAACATAATACGGTGTAACATTAGAGTCATTTTGTGGCAAGTAAATCAGAACTCAACGTTTACCTCCCCATACATACAAGACAGCCAACACACACATTGTTCAGAAAACATCTCAGAAGAACGGCCACTATTTCTGCAGCCACACCAACATTGTAACTGGCTTCAGAAGCAGTGCTCCAGGCTAGAACATTATTAAGATGGACAAGAGGGACAGGAACTCTTCAACTTTCTCTGACAGCAATCACAACTTCTGTTATCTCACAGAAGTTCCCTATTCCTCACCCTCTCTTACCCAAGAAGAAAAGCTGCACTGTGAAATGCACTAAAGCGAGCGATGTCCTTTCCACCAAGACATATCACTGACGCGAGCTCTCCTGATTACTGCCGAGCGCTTAGCAATCACCGCATGGACGAGAAGCAAACTATGAGCTCACTGACACAGGGCGCTCTGGCTTTACTAAACCCCTGCTTGTGGCTAGAACAAGGACCATGTGTTGTAGCTTTGTGCAGAGCTCTGCTGTGCATCTTTACAGTCAATGGCATTTCAAAATATCTTCTGGTGTGTTTTTGGTAAAGAGAGGCTCTGCGTTAACAGGGTATGAGCTACATCTATGTGGCACTGCTCCAGTCTAATGAAAATTGCTTAGTCAGAAGCAATTAAGAGAGCGGATTTTCAGGAATTACTTGGGTTCAAATCCCTAACTAAACTTTCCCCATTTTGCAAGTCAGGATTTACAGGAAACATCTTAACTGTCTGTACATCAGAAGACTTCCAAACAGCCTCACTCGTGGTTCATCATTCTGTTAAGGTAACAGTATCTCTTAACCATAATTTCTTCAAATACCCAATCTCCATTTTTATTGCCTCTGTTAACACAAAGTACAAGAGGAAAGAAGCCTGTGCAGTTTTATCCTATTCACCTAACTTAACAGCTGGCCACCTACAATGATCCCCGTTTCCCTGGCAAAACCAATCTCTGCTCTGTGAGCTCTTCTCAAAAATGTACATCTGTTTCAAAATAGTCTTACTTGTTTTCCAAAAATGGGCAACTACTAATTCAACTCAACTGAAAGTTTCTGATGCCTTCAAGCTATTCCCTGATGACTGGCATCAAGGTCAACTGCTGGACATTTCAGTGCCTTCCCACGATCCCCATCAGTCCTTCTGCTAAACAACAGGGCTCCATATCGTCACATCTCTCTGACCAGCATGGGACAGTTAATTTTGATGTATACAAAAAAAGCACATTCTGCACAAGAGATGGGGAACTTTGGATCAGTATCTGCCTCCCCTATTAAATGGAGTCCTAGAAAAAAAGTTAAATTTACGAAGTCTGGTTAGAAAAGAGTTAATGCCATTGCCTTGAGCAGCTAATTTTAAGAGCAAAGTGCAAATTCAAAGCTTTGAAGGAAGAAGAGGCATCTCTGCAGTTAATTCCTG